GGTGAAGCATCACAAGCTACCACGAGTGGCTTCTTCTCATCATAGTGCGTTAAGACAGAGGAGGAATGAAGCATGGCTTTAGCCTTTTGAAATGCTTTCTCTTGGTCCTGAGACCATTTCCAAGGAGTATCTTTTCGAAGGAGTAGATGAAGAGGAGATAATACAGTGGCTACATCTGGTAGAAATTTGTGGTAATAGTTCAATAGTCCTAAGAAGGATTTCAGTTCCGTGACGTTAGTAGGAGTAGGCGCTTCTCGAATAGCCTTCACTTTGGCTTCTGAAGGATGTAGACCATCTGAATCAATGATGTGTCCCAAGTACTCAACTGATGGAACACCAAATTTACACTTGGACTGCTTTAAAGTGAGTCCTGCCTCCTCTAGAGTTTGCAAAACAGCATGAAGATTATTGAGGTGATCAGCATCATCAGTACCAGTAACGAGTATGTCGTCTATGTAGACACATACATGCTGCAAGTGACTGAGTAAGTTCTCAATTGTACGTTGAAATAATGAGGGTGCTGATGAGACTCCAAAAGGAAGCGCTCATATTGGAAGAGCCCTTTAGGGGTATTGATGGTTGTAAATTTCTTGGAAGCCTCATCTAGCGGTATCTGAAGGTAAGCGTGCTTTAAATCAAGTTTTGAGAAGATCTTTCCTCCAGCTAGGGCAGCGAACAGATCCTCTGATCGAGGTAGTGGATATGTATCAGCTAACAGAACTGGGTTCACAGTAACTTTGTAGTCCCCGCACAATCGAATAGACCCGTCAGTCTTTACAATGGGAACTATGGGTGCAGCCCACTCTGAGTACTTTACAGGTGTAATAACTCCTAAACCCCTTAGGCGATCTATCTCGTCGAATACCTTTTGTCTCAGCGATAGAGCGACAGGACGTGGTCGGTAGAACTTCGGTTTCGCATCTGACTGGACGTGAATCTTGGCTGTGAAGTCCCGCAGCTTCCCCAATTCTGAACGAAATACTGGAGCGTGCTTCTGGAGTACTTCACCTAAAGAAGAAAAAGAACAATTATAATTAACATGATTAATAAGGGACCAATCTAGTCGGATAACTTCCAACCAATTACGACCCAGTAGAGTAGGTCCATTTCCAGGAACTATCACCAGTGGTAGAGTAGCAGTCTGGGACTGATAACAAACATCAACATCTATAGCACCGACTGGCTTGATCTTCTCTCCAGTATAAGTAGTTAGAATGACATGAGAAGGAGAAATTGGAGGAAGAGTAGAAGAAAGAGAGGAATAAGTGTCTTTACTCATTATAGATAAGGAAGCCCCAGTGTCCAGTTCCATGGAAAGGTCAACCTTATTGACACTCACTGAAACAACAATAGGTTTTCCAGCAGAAGGCAAAGTAAACAATGGGTAGTCCTCTTGGTCAGAGTCTCCCATGAGAAGAGGATGTGACTTGTGGTCCAGGTTGTGAGTTGGGTGTTGTCTGTTATTCTGCTGAGGTTGTGGTGGGTACCCAGTCTTGGCTTTAGGATGATTCCTCTGCTGCTGTGGCTTCTCTTTTCGACTGCGACATACCCTGGCTAGGTGTCCCTTCTTTCCACACAGCCTACAATCTGCCTCAATAAACTTGCATTTAGTAGCGTAATGATCTCCACCACATCTGTAACACTCAACTTTACTCTGCCTGTGTGACGATCCTCT